CGCGGAGATGTGAAAATAGAGTCTGAGAGTTTTGTAGGAACCAACACGCACAAGGTGGAAAAGCAAAGTGAGGAAATGAAAAAGTATCTGCTGTCGTCCATGGTTATTTATAACGTGAATAAACATTTACATCACTTTAAGGGTTTGGTAATAACTAGACTTGGTTGTATACGATAAGAAAAAGTATTTTTGTGGACAGACATGTTTAAAACTTGTGTTTTCAGTTTCTCAATGAAGTTATGAAACTTTCCCTTGAGAAACATTTTTTTTAACATATCTCACTAATGGTCCCATAATTGTGGGAATTTAAACTCTGGTCGAGATTTTAATCAAATTGATTTACAGCTCGTGTTTCCATTCTGAAAGCTCTCAGAGGATTTCAAGCTTTTCAGAAGTTGAGGTGATTCATATATATTTAAAATCTACTCACTGGAATCACAAACTGAATGTTTTTGACTCAGTGAGGGATTTTCCCTGCATTTGGTTTTATCTGACCTCTTGTGGCATGCTTGTATTTCTTCTTGCTTTTTTCCTGTCTCTGTTCCAGAGCGAGGTCTCCCTGCCTCGTCTTCCCGTCCTTTTATTCCAAACGAGTCACAGAGAAAGCAAGAGGAAGTCCATATAACAAAGGGACGCACTGAAGTAAAGCGAACGCACCCGCAACGAGGGCGGGGATCATATCGTTCACTTCATTGGTCGACCTGTGGTCAACGCGACACCTGGCATTCTATTGGTGTGATTCAATATATCTGAGCGCGAGCACACAGTTTGGGCAGAAACAGAGCAAATTTAAGTGCAAACGGGCCACTTGAGTGCGAGGGCAGGGTTTCGATGAAAAGTAAAACACGATCTGAACATAAATTCAACAAGTCATGCGCTCTTGAATAAAGATCGGAGAAAAGCTCCATACAAAACTGAATAAACTCAATTTTCCACACTGGAAGGCAGTTTTATTGAAATCTACCGTTTCCTTGCCGCGTGGGGAACCTGAAGAGAGTCGATGGACTCCGTCTCCTTCGGGAGCCGCGCCTCCTCAAACGGACTCTGGTGAGGCGGGGGTGTAATCTGAGCACCTGTGGTGAAATGAAGTGAAAGTGACCCGCCTAACGTTCACGGATAAATTCTGATTTGAATCGAGAAACACGGCCTGAGGACCAAAAAGCAGCAAAACTACACCGTCACACCTTTTTCGCACGTTTTGCACTCGTCTCATCTGCTGCTCGACAGTTTGAAATGTTTGTCTGTAAAAAGCTCTGAAGGCAAAGCAGTTCAGTTCTGAACAAAACACTGAAAACAATGGTTGTTGTTTCATCACACAGGTCGTTGAATCGTTTAAATACGATAAAGTGTGAAACTGAATTAAATTCACTCTGAATAAGAGAAGATATTTGAATATTTGATTCCATAAAGCAGCTTCTCTCATGTTTTAACTGTGCAGCTTCAATATTCCCTTGGTAATAATTAAAAACACGGCGTATCAATGTGTGGAATAGAAGTAGCACTCATTAGAATATGTCACCCAATCATGAGGCAGCCGATCGGGGTCGTGCAGGTGAACAGACTTTCTGCCGTCATCGTATCCGTCTCTGCTCTGAATAAACTCACTGATTCTGGTGGTGTACCTCTTTTACTGTGCCGCCCTGCTGCCCCCTTTTTATCTTAATCCTTTGCACACGTGGGAATGAATGAGTTTTAAATATGGAAGAGGTGCTCTCAGTGTTGCTCATTGTGGCCATTAGAGCTACACAATCCACTTTGTTCCTCACAGAGGTGCCGCGTCAACGTATCCCAGAGTTCATCACGGGTCGCGGCAGGTCAAGGTTTTTTTTTCCAGGCTTTTAACAGAAGCTTAAGTGGTAACGCGGCCTGGTTCGCATGAGGGGGACGAGAAGAACAGTGTCAGTTTGGGAACTAATGGAATAGCTTCTCTTAAAAGAGAAAAGGAAACCTTCATGGGGAATATTGAAAAGTTTATTTATAAATGAAGGTAAATGTTTAAAAGTTTAAAAAGAAGCAGCTGCTCCTTCAAACACAAACGTCGGTTTCCGAGGTTGGAGCCAAATGAGGTTTAGCACTTAAGACGTCATCTTCAATTACAACTCAATCAATAACAACAAACGAGCACGAGGTCGACTCAGCTCAACAGGTTTTTATGAGGCAACTATTTATTTATCAAAACCACAAAACTCAATTAAACTGCAACTAAAGACGGATACCACAGCTTCTGTGGTGACACACACGTCTTTAGTGACGTAAAGAACCCGAATCCACGAAAACAGTTTGTCACTGAATGAACATTAACACGTGGGAAGGCTTGTCCTCGTGCGAATGGTTTATTTTTCACTTGTAATTTGACAAATACAGGTCAAAACAATATCGTGGTATTTTTTTTAAATATCTAAATCTTTGTCTTTTCTGTTCATATTTGATTTGTTTATTTGTTTTATTCATAATCACCTGTTTCTGTGTATAAACACGACATCATTTCACTGAGGGCAGGTGTTAATCACATCCGTCACTTGTTTCGCTTTCGGCTTTCGACTGATTAGATTTTGATTTATCGACAGAATGAAGAACGGCCTCCCTCGAAAATAAAACATCTTTGTTGATATTAAAGTAAATGAATAAACTAAAAGAAGGAGAAACTGTTGCTGCAAAAGTTCATGTTATTTATTCATCCTACACACACACACACAGACACACACACACACAGTGTTGATACATGTGTTGTGTTGTAAATGAATCAGCAGCTTTGTTTTCCTTCATTTCTTTTCTTGTGTTAAAGATATTAAAGAAATGTTGTATGTTTTGTAACTTTGCCAAAGGAAGAATAAAGCAGGGATTGACTTCATATGATGAGAGGGCAGGCAAAGTTATTTGATTAGTAATCTAAATAATATCAGGACGAAAACAAAGTTGAGAGACAAAGTGGTTTCAGAGAAATTACAGTTTTTCTCCATTATCCCGTCGACAGAAAACGATTAAAATCTGTGTGAGTAATTTCAGTGAACAACGACTGCATTAATTCACACCGCAGATTAAAGCCAGATGTTGGTGAAAAAGTATTTTCTTTAGTAAATGAGTTATTATAAATGGTACGCACCGAGTAGGTTTGGCTTCGTGCTGATGTGACGCAAAGACAGAAAGAGAACGAATCAGATATTTGGTTTCTGACATGAAGAGAAAATCTACAAACGTGTAGATTTGTGTCTGTGTTTTCACGTCATCGTACATTTATGTGATTTTACCAATTAGTCTGATCGATTGAGTCGTGACATGAGGGAAGAGTCTCAGAAGATGTTCTCTCTTAAGAACTCCATCTGCTTTAATCTAATTTACTGCCTTTGTGTGAAAAGGGTGAGTTTGTGTGCAACAGCTCATTTGTTCTACAGCCTCTGTTGTGTTCCCTCTACTGAAAAATAGACTTCAGCTGTGTGTGTGTGTGTGTGTGTTTTGTGCTATTGTGTGCCCTGTGTCAGCCTGTTAAATATGTGTGTGTTTGTGTGTGTGCATTTGCAGAGCTAATTGAAAAGTGCCACTGTTGTAAACAAGCTGAGAAAAGAGCGAACATTTTTCATGTGGCTCAGGGGCTCTATGCAGCGGGTGTGTGTGTGTGTGTGTGTGTGTGTGTGTGTGTCATGCCAACATCAGATGGCAGTCACTTATCTTGGATACTTGCATCATTGCATCTCCCCTCTCATCCCCTCATCTTCATCCCCTCCTTTAATCTCCATCTTCTCCTCTTCCCCTGTCTCGACTCTTCATCGCGTGGCTACGTGAACGCTGACGGTACGAAGGCCGATTCTCCAGCAGAGGTTTCAGTCCTGTCGAGCTGTTTTCATGAACTAGATGAGCTCCTGGTTACTGAATATCTCTGTTTCCATGAATGAACCAGCCGTCAGAGTATTCCCTCTCGCAGAGCGATAGATTACTTCTGCTACTCTGGAAAGAAATGATGATTTCGGCTTGTAAATCCCTCTCAAGCATTTTGTTCTCACTGACGTGTGCAGTAAATGCAGAAGTGAGCAGATTGAAAACAGCCACAGTTAAGGAAAAAGGTTTAAGGATCTAAAATGAAATCTTTGAGGGCTCAAAAACACATAAATATAAATGTGTTGGTTTAGAACATTAAAAAATGAGACAAAGAATTATCTCAATCTCAATATAACAGACTTTTAGACGACAGATGACTCTCAACTTTTGAATTTTGAATCCAGGGAATCAGAAATCTTATTTTTTAAGTTTGAGAAGAAAGAATTAACTATTTACCGTACGTATGTAATGTTATTAATGTTATGCGGGCTCTTCTGATTTTCTCAGACAGAAGATCCCGTCTTGTTGCCGTCAGCCGACGTTGCACAGAAACTTTGGGGAAGAGTTTGGTTCTTTTACATTCCTCCGTGTTTGCAGCTCTTCACACAACCTACTGCCACCGTTTCCGTTTTCCCGGCTCCCGATCACGTCAACCTAAAAGACGTTCTGCGATCACACCTCTGCGGGGAGGGGTGTCACTGAGGAGGAGTGCAGCTCGAAGACAGACTCTGCTGCTGCCTGTCTGCGTCAGGACGAGCAGATTGAAACACGGGACACGGAAGCACAGCGACGCCAGATGAACTCCTCCTCCTCAGGGGGTCGAGTTATTCAGGGTGTCTGTTTACCAGACAACACAAGTCTGCACACAACAGGCTCAGCGCCAGAGAGAGAGGGAGAGAGAGAGGGAGAGAGAGAGAGAGAAATAAAAATACTTGGATCATTATCACCAAAGTTAAGTAATAGATGCAGTGAATGACTTAAATGATGATGAGCTCAAACGTTACAGTTTCCTGGATTAGGTTTAATAAAAGTCCTGCAGAAGTTTTCCAGTTTGGATTTACTTGGTTTTGAGTTTCTCTTCCCATGATGCAACTCTGTCTTTATTACTAGGACCCTTCCTATTTGGAAAACTTTCATGTTTTCTTCCTCTTTGACCGGTTGAAGCCTCAAGAGCCATAAAATGCATGAACTGATTCTCAGTAAAATTGAGGAGAGGTCCTTTAATGTTGCCGTCATGTGAACATACATGACACTTGCAGTCAGACGAGGTTGATCACGTGGTGTTGCTCCACTCCTCCAGAGATCCTCCTCCGCAGGTGAGTCCTCAGTGCGAGATATTGCACGGTACAAAGTTCAGCATCCTCCAGTTTCATTTCAAAATACAACGTAACATTACCTTCGCAGGTCAAACTGTTTAAATATGAACTGTCCTTCCCGCCCTACAGTCACGTGAACATACATGTGCAGTAAGTACATGCGTGGGATTGCATTAGATGTTTAAACTTTGTTTTTGCAGTGAGGTTATATTCCAGACACCGTGAAACTCTTCCTGTATAATCTTTATTTTTTTTTTCCTGCACCACAGAATTAGAGGGACGTGATTAATGTACAACATTAGCAATGTGTTGTTGTAGTAAAAAAAACTTGTACTTTCTTAAATGTATTGCTCTTATCTACTTCCTAATTCTCCAATAGCTATTATGAGAATTTTATCTAATTTGCTCCATTATAATCTCATTTCCTCCAAAACCGCTCGACTCCATATGAATAAATCCTGTGGCTGTCAGTTCCGTCGTCTGTGCCTGATAACAAACTGACCTGCAAACTCTCAAACTCGTTTTTCAAGCCACTCCCAGTTTGTTTTGTTTTTAAGATCCGAGCCTCGTTTGCCTTCACGCAGACTTCTTTCTTTTCCGTCTCCACTGAGGCGGCAGCTGCAATGCATTCGGGTAAGTCATTGACATGCACCAGACGGGCAGAGCTGACGAGGTTTATTAAAGGGATCTGGAGTCTGATGCTGTCTCCCCTCATTAACCTCAATAGCACCACAGACAGGTTATCTGGCAACACACACGAGAGATGAATGAGGGATGTGAAAAGACACAGAAAGCAGCTGCAAAAGGGAAATTTAAGAAGAAAATGTAAAAAGAGAAAGAAACTGACTGAAAAAGATGAAAAGAAACATATTTTTCCTCTGATAAGTCACAGCAACACGTTTCAGGAGCGCTGTCAGTCCAGGCGAGGTTTCCTCCTGCAGCCTCTCAGACCAGTTAAAGAGAAGTCATCTCGTCTCTGAAGGTAAAACGTCCCCAGCTTCCTGTGATGAGCCGCTCAGCAAAGCTCCCGAGCTCAACTCAAAGTTGGAAAGTGAAGTTTCGTTGCACGATTCACAGAATTTCCTTGTGTTTTATTTTGGAGCCGTGTTTTAATGCTCCGAGCTTCTACTATAAACACCAGCAGCTTTAAGTTCCGGTAATTTCACCACCAATCCGTCAGTGATGCCTGTGAAGTTGAGCCTTTGCATGAATATGGATTCGTTTCCCTCCTGCAGACGTGTACTCCCCTTGTTTCCCGCTCTCCAGAGAAAAGAAGTCTGGTTATGCCAACTCGCATCTGCGTCTGTGAGTGATCTCACTGCCTCTCAGATTCAAGTTACACTCACACACTGAGGTGTTTGTTACGTGACCCGTCGAATGTTGAGACTTAATTTGGGTTCGCTTATAATCAGAAAGGGATTTGTAGGTGGATGAAGATGGAACTAACCCTGTTAAACCAAAATGACCAAAGACCTAATCCAATTCAGTTTATGCATTGTTGAGTTATACTTTGCAGACACACACACACACACACACTCTTGGTTCTACTCTAGCGAGAGCGATTGAGACGAGGTCTGTTGTTTTTTGGATTAAGTTTTGGAGCATCGGGCTTTTTGCTCCTGTTGACGTTGGTTTTGCCTTAAATCGATGTTTCAGAAGAGCGAGCGGACGCTGCAGCTTCCACACACATCGACAAATTCAAGCAAAAGGGATAAACAGCAGCTGGAGCCACGGACAGAGGTCAGACGTGGAGAGATTAACGGTGACACTGCTGATTCGAAGGCTCTGCAAGCTGACATTTGTGTCTTTACTGCTTAGTCACACACACACACACACACA